GGGTCGCGGCTGGGGGAAATAGTGGGGGGGGGGGGGGGAGTCAAAAAATTAATTAGTATTCTTTCCACAGCGGCTAAAATTTTAATTGCAAAGTATTGGAAAGATTCTAAGGTGCCAAATATAACTCAGTGGTGGTATAAAGTATGGGATTTATTCATGTTGGACAATTTCTCAATTTATCATTCCAATAACCAAAATGAGAGTGATTTTTCCAATCCTCTAAATATCTGGTACCATATCTTAGATAAAATAGACATTGACATCTTTGATTGGGAAACTATATCTAAAGCCAAGTACAAGCTACTGGTATTTGGTTAGTTTAGATTTCCTAAGCGAGACTCTCTTTTTACAGCTCTGGATTTTGTCTTGTCTGAGTGGTGGGTGACATTAGAGAGACTTTCTAGTGTCATGTGAGCCGTGTATCTCTTTCCAGTCATGGCTGATTGGAGGGGGGTGTTGTCGTCAGCAAGATACACAAGATTCACAAAGTAGAATTTTTGCTCACAAGACTCCACAGCTTAGAGGGGGCATGCCTGAGGTCATCTGTTCTCTCTGAATAATCTGCTCTTTTTAGGTTACTGGAGGAAGCAACTAGATCATGTATGTGAACACCTCAGAAGCTATGCACAGAACAACGTGGAGTTCAGGACTTTAATTGGAGAGCCACAGATGGGAAAGGTAGGAAGATGGAGCAGGGAGCTTACAAAGTACTGAGACTGATGCGTGTCGGGGTGATTTCAGCTCATGTTTTATTAGTTAAATGGAGAACTTGAGTTAACTTGTGGGGCCCACGGCCTGCTTATATTCCCATTCAAACCACACCCAAATCACACACCCATTCCCGTGATAGGCTGTATACAATACTACTTTCCCTCATTGGTTCCCTTTAGGATCTGGACTGGCCGTTTGGCAAGTTCTAGGATCCTCTGCTTCTATTGTTGTCGGATGCGAAGCTCAGCTTGTCCACCTGGCCATGTGTGAGCTCGACCACATGTGCGGTCTCGCTTAGTACACAACAGAGCTCTTCTGGGTCAGACTTTGTTTCCGTGAAATATATAGTTAATTCCAGAGGTCATTTCCTGCAGGAGTGCACAGGAGCGGAGCTCCGGCAGTAAAGAGCCCAGGGGGCGGGCACATGCCACAAGCCCCACCCCCTGCTCCCAGCTACCCTCAGTCAGAGCAAGAAGCAGCCAGGTAAGCTGCAGAGCCCCCCCCCCGGCCCCTCGGTCCAAAACAGTCCAGTGGAGCCTGAGCAGTGGTTGTTGCCTTCTGACACACTTCCAGTTTGGTGTAGCCAGTTTGGTGTAGTGGTTAAGTGCGTGGACTCTAATCTGGGAGAACCGGGTTTGATTCCCCACTCCTCCACTTGCACCTGCTGATGTGACCTAGGGTCAGTCACAAGCTCTGGCACAACTGTCCTTGAAAAAGAGCAGTTTGTGTCAGAGTTCTCTCAGCCCCATCCACCTCACAGGGTGTCTGTTGTGGGGAGGGGAAGGGAAAGGAGTTTGTAAGCCGCTCTGAGACTCCAAGTGAAGGGCGGGGTATAAATCCAATCTCTTCTCTTCTTCTTCTTCTTCTTCCGGTGAAATCAGGGGGTGTGGCCTATGCAAATAAGTTATGCTAATGAGATATGCTAATGAGCTCCTGCACCTCTTTTTCTACAAAATGTCCCCTGGTTAATTCTGAAACTGATGCATAGAAGTCAAAGGAAGCGAGGCCTAACGGTGAAGGAGAACAGTGGCGTGATAACAACCACCCTTTCTTTTCCGCGAATGAATGGTAACCCCTGCTTTTTCTCCCACAGCTCATATCTGCAACTGTCCATGAGGATGAACATCAAGTCAGTCTCCGACTGAATTATGCACTTGCTGTAAATAAGGTTTGTGTGGACGTCTGATCCTATGCAGAGTTACTTTATAAGCTGGTAGACAGGAAAGGAGGGAGCTGGAGTGAAACAGGTTTATAGGTTGAAATCAAGAAACTGGAGTTGAGAAATGAGTTGTGTGCGATACTATTTACACACAAGGGTTCTTTACACCCAGGGCTATTTTGGGGCAGAAGCGCACAGGAACAGAGTTCTGGCTGGCTTCAGAGTTGGCCACACCCACTACAGCCAAAACCTCTGCGTACAGAGGGAAGGCCTGGAGAGCGACCCCCCCCCGGGCGACTCTGAGGCGGGTGAGCTGGGGGTGGCCTGAAAGGATTGGAGAGGCATTTAAATGCCTCCCCGTGCCTTTCCCAGCCTGTCCAAGGGCTGGCTTGTCCAGGCTCCCCGCAGCCGTGGGGCACCCGGACAAGCGAAGGGAAGGCATGGGGTGTGGCCTAATATGCTAATGTGCTGTGCTGTCAGGGGTGTGGCCTATTATGCTAATGCGTTTCTCGTGTTGGGTGTGGCCCGTTATGGTAATGAGCTCCTGCTGGGCTTTTTCTACAAAAAAGCCCTGGTTCTACCATTTAGTTTCTAAAATCAAGATCCTGAACAATCAACAAAAATCTACATAATCAAAAAATGTTAATTACAGAAGAGTGCAAATATGATTAGATTTCAAACATAAGTACATACATTTGTGGGGCTGGGGTGGGGTCTGTGGCTTTGCCTGCAGAAGGTCTCAGGAGGATCAAGTCATAGGTGATGTGAAAAGCCTCCAGCTGAGAACTTGGAGGGCAAGTGGGTACTAAAATATGAGAGTGACACAGCATGCAGTTACAAAACACTGAACAAAGATAGAGTCCAGGTGGCACCTTTAAGACCAACAAAGTTTTATTCAAGGTGTGAGCTTCTGTGTGCACACCAATGCTCCCTGTAAGCCGTGGAGTCTTGTGAGCAAAAATTCTACTTTGTGAGCTACTGGCATTGAAGTTGTGACTGAGCGATTTGGCTACTGCATGAATTAGTTTGCTCTGGAGCCCCCCTTCCTGAGCCGAGACAAAAATGTGTGAGCCGGAGGCTAAAAAACTGTGAGCTAGCTCACACTCACTCAGCTTAGAGGGAACACTGGTGCACGCACACTTTGTCAGACGATGAAATGGAATTATAGATCATACTTGTATATATACCAGATGGCTTGTTAAATTAGCATGCAAAATAGTAACATTGTCTGACGAAGTGTGTGCGCATACGTAAGCTCACACCTTGATTAAAACTTTGTTGTTGTTAAAGGTGCCACTGGACTCCTAACTTTGCTCTATTGCTTCAGATCAACACAGCTGCCCACTTTGATCTATCTTTATAGAACACTGAAGTGTCAGTTCTTATTCTCATTACCAAGAGAAGGGTTTCAGTTTGAGTCCAGCGGCACCTTTAAGACCAACAAAGTTTTATTCAAAGTCTTTCATGTGCAAGCGCACTTGCACACAAAAGCTTAAACACTGAATTAAACTTTGTTGGTCTTAAAGGTGCTGCTGGACTCAAACTTTGTTCTGCTGCTTCAGACTAACATGGCTGCCCACCTGGATCTATGATCAGTTCAAGTGCAGCAACAGTGAAACTTTGAATTGATCAGTCCAACACTCACAGGAAAAGATTAGTAGTGGCTTTCGTGGAAACTTGTCTGCCATTGCTGATTTTCCCACTGAAGACCTCCTGATAAAGCCAAGGTTTCCCAGTACTTAAATTGAAAAGCAGTATTATTATGAGTGATGATAATAATAATAATAATAATAATACTTTCAATTTATTAATCGCTTTCCCCAGTGGGCTCAAAGCAATGTACAGTTACACATTAGACAGGGGATAGGGAGGACAACATATATTCATTTCTTAATTGCACACGCTGTCACTGCACGGTGTAAACGTCTTCTGGCTTGGCTCAGTCATTTTCCGAACAGCTGCTTGTCGACCAAGCTTCAGGACCCATATGTCACATCGCCACACTGCCACCGCCTGGCCGGAGACATCCACTGCAGGGATTTTTGTAGCCGAGAAGTTCTTTTGCCTTTTTCTGACCTCGACCAGGAAGTCCCGATCGTCAGCTAACACCCTCCCACAAGGGAGATGGGTGTGCCCACCCTCTCTAAGGAGTGGTTCCCATTTTATCTACTCGCCAAAGCTTTCAAATCACTGGGTGGACGATGAGCTGGGGACAACAGGCTGGCTGCTCACCCCAGTGCGGGGCTCAAACTAACACAGTTCGGATGTTAAGACAGTGGGATATACCCACTGTGCCACCGCTCCCCTTACTTTGCCTTATCTGCTCTGCAAAAGGTATTGCTTTCTATAACTCACTGTCTGCTGTTTGTGGTTCTTCAGGATATTCTGACCTATCAACCAGCAATGTTTGATTATCATGGCCTGAGTTCCCTCAAAGGAGGTACAAATGGATTACATGGAAGAAAAGCAACGTTGGGTGAGCATCTGTGTATTCTGGGTGATTCCTTGCAAGGGAAGACAGCCCTTTGTAATCACGAGTAGATGTTCACAAGCGAGGTTGGAGTCTTGAAAGCTCCGACCCCTGGAAATCTCGTTGGTCTCTATGGGGCCTTGAATCTGGCTGTTCCACTTAAAACACTTGACACTCCTGCCTTAAAGAAGAGCCCAGGTGAGACATGAACTCCAGATCAAAGGCTGCATGGGGTCCCAGTAGCCCGGGAGCTGAATGTAGGTGCATCATGACGAGAAGGAGAAAGAGTGGTAGCTTTTGGGAAAGTGTACAGGAGTATTTTAAAAAAATGTAATCATTTTCAAAAACTAGCTCATTCCTTAATAAGAAAGTGAGATCAATAGATCACCAGTAAGTCACAAACAAAGATTAAAGATACAGTGTGGGGAGATGGCTGTGGCTCAGTGGTAGAGCATCTCCTTGGCATGCAGAAGGTCCCAGGTTCAATCCCCAGCGTCTCCAGTTAAAAGGATCAGATAGTTGTTGTTGTTGTTGTTCAGTCGCACAGTCGAGTCCGACTCTTTGCAACCCCATGGACCAGATCCCGCCAGGCCCTCCTGTCTTCCGCCGTCCTCTGAAGTTTGCTCAGTTTCATGTTCGTTGCATCGATGACACTGTCTAGCCATCTCATCCTTTGCCCTCCCCGTCTTCTTTGACCTTCAATCTTTCCCAGCATCAGGGTCTTCTCCAGTGAGTGCACCCTTCTCATTGGGTGGCCAAAAATCGGATAGTAGGTGATGTGAAAGATCCCTGCCTGAAACACTGGAGAGCTGCAACTGGTCCGAGTAGATGGACTTTGATGGACCAGTGGTCTGATTCGGTATAAGGCAGCGTCATGTGTACAGTATACATCATTGAAACAATCTGTTTTGGGGGAGGGGCTGTGGCTCAGTGGCAGAGCATCTTGCTCAGTATGCAGGAGGTCCCAGGTTCAGTCCCCCCCCCCCAAAGCCATCTCCAGCTGAAAGGACTTATGAGGAAAGGCTGAAAGAGTTGGGTATGTTTAGCCTGGGAAAGAGAAGGCTTAGAGGGGACATGATTGCAGTCTTCAAGTATTTGAAGAGCTGTCATGTAGAAGATGGAGCAGATCTATTCTCTCTTGCTCCGGATTGCAAAACTAGATCTAATGGGTGGGAATTACAAGGGAGTCGTTACTGGCTAAATATCAGGAGAAACTTCCTAACTGTCAAGTGGTTGAGCAGTGGAACAGTCTGCCTCGGGAGGTGGTGGGTGCTCCTTCGCTGGACGTTTTCAAGCAGAGGCTGGACGACCATCTTTCAGGTATGTCATAGGTATGTAGGGCTATCTTTCAGCTATGCTCCTGCAGAGTGCAGGGGGTTGGACTAGATGACCTGCAAGGTACCTTCCAACTCTAACATTCTATGATTCTGTGACCAGGCGGGAGGTGCTGTGCAAGACCTCTGCCTGAGACGCTGGAGAGCCACTGCCAGTCTGAGTAGGCAGTACTGGCTCTGATGAACCAAAGGTCTAATTTAGTATAAGGCAGCTTTATGTGTTCACTCATCTATCAAAAATCATGGGAAATTCTGGAACACGGACTAACCCCAAAAACATTAAGCAGCGACTTTGAAAGCATTTAAAACCCAAATTCTTTCTCCACACAATAGCCACAGTTTGCCATGGATATCATTTGCATTTTAATGTTGTGTTTTCTGTTTTAGCAAGTGAAGAGAGTCAGAGAATCTTGAGTCCCAGAGAGAAAATCCAAAGAATGGCCAGAACATTGAAATGTCTAGAAAAGGAAGACAGACTTTCTGTACGTATCTGCTTTTAATTCAAAGACATCATTTATGTAGGCAGGATGCTAGAGTATTAGCAATGATGATCGCAGACTACTTAAAAAGGAATCTGTTTTTTACAAAGTACTATTTTGAGGAAGGAAAATATACAGAAAATAGAACTGTTTCTATTCTTGCTTTTCTAAAACTGAGTATACAATTTGGCCTCTTAGTTCTGCTCCATTTCTTTTTGTCCTTCATGAGTTCGTAGTTTGGAGGTGTACTTCATGGGAACTTGCGAGTTCTGTATCTGTATTAAAATACTGCGGAGCAGGGCTTTTTTTGTAGAAAAAGCCCAGCAGGAACTCATTAGCATAATAGGACACACCCAACAGCAGAAACTCATTAGCATATTAAGCCACACCACTGCCAGCACAGCTCATTAGCATATTAGGCCACACCCCCATGTTATCAGAAGTGTGGTCATCCAGCCACACCCACCTTTTGCTTCTTATTCTGTTTACTTTTTTGTCAAACCCCTGGGCTTTTTTTGTAGCAGGAACTTCTTTGCATGTTAGGCCACACAACCCTAATGTAGCCAATCCTAGTGAGTTTCTGCTGTTAGAAGAAAAAGAAGAAGAGATTGGATTTATACCCCACCCTTCACTTGGAGTCTCAGAGCGGCTTACAAACTCCTCTCCCTTCTCCTCCCCACAACAGACACCCTGTGAGGTGGGTGGAGCTGAGAGAACTCTGACACAAACTGCTCTTTTTCAAGGACAGCTGTGCCAGAGCTTGTGACTGACCCAAGGTCACATCAGCAGGTGCAAGTGGAGGAGTGGGGAATAAAACCCGGTTCTCCCAGATTAGAGTCCGCACACTTAACCACGACACCAAACTGGCTCTCACTGGTTAGGTGTGGCCTATTATGCTAATGAGTTCCTGCTGGGTGTGGCCAACTCAGGAGCCAGCCGGAACTCCGTTCCTGTGCGTTCCTGCTCAAAAATAGCCCTGCAAAACCAAAATTAATGTAATACCTTCTATTAGGACCAATCAAACTTGGCACTTAAAACAGAACTGTGCTCAAGACGGGGTAAGGAGGTTACCATCCACTTTGATGCCACTTGAAGCAAAAGATCCAGAAGTGACAACAGCTTCAGTGTACTTCATTTAGTACCTACTTTTGTTGTTGTTCAGTCGCACAGTCGAGTCCGACTCTTTGCGACCCCATGGACCTACTTTACTTTTCTGTAAATTGCCAATAAATTTATAGTTTTGGAGAAATTTTACTTTACTTATTGTTTTGATTTATATCCTGCCCTTTCCACAAGAAGGCTCAGGGTGGGTCACAACAATA